GACACACGAAAACCACCTAGGGAGCGACAGGTGCACACAGGGATCCCCACAGAGGGACCCCCGAGGCGGTGCCTACCTACGACGAGCGCAGGCAGACACCGCCAAAGTGGCGCTGGATGTGGTCAGCGTTCATCTGATGGACCAGCGCCGCAAAGCGACCCTTCCACCGAGGAACAAAGGCCTCATCTAGCCCCGGCTGATACACACCACGGGCCTCGGCGCAGCGGGCGAGCTGACCAAGCAGATCCACAAAGGAGGAGGCGAACCCACCGGTTGTCGTCATCGCCGCAGGGACGATCAGAGTTTTTCCATTGGTGGCCGCCAACGCCTTGGGGAGCTCACCCTTGGTGAAGGACACGGTTGGGGAGCTCACAGCCGTGGCTGGTGCCAGTGTAGACGTGGAGGCGGGTGTTGAAGCAATGTACGGGGTCAGCCCGGGCGGTACCAGGAGGTCGCGCACGGCCTGAACCTCAGAATTACCAATCACGGCACGAGCCTTGTCGGCATCAAATGCTTTGGCAATCTGACCTCGGTTCAGACGGTTCGTGACGTGGTTTGCCCAGGCTTCGTCCGCCAGGTCCGGGTCGCGGACGAGCGACCTGAGGCTCTGGTCGACTGCGTCGTTCGGGTGGGCGCCCGCGCCGGCGTTCAGCTGTCCTCGACGGCTCTGCTTGCGTGCGACTGCCTTGCGCATGGCGTCCACGACCCGACCTAGTTGCCCCGTCACAAGCCAACGGAGACGATCGTGAAACATATTGCGCAGGTCAATCGTAGACAGTGCGGTCGAGGGAGCAGACAACAACATGCTAGGCAAGGCCAAAATCAAAGCCCAGCACATCTCTCGCTCTTCAGCGGTATAGTCCGAGTGGACGGCAGACCAATACAGCTGGCTCAAGGTGGCAGCCATCAGCTTGGTCTCGGTGGCGTTGGATGGGTAGCGGCTGCGCTGCATCAGTGGATGCCGGGCGAGCTTGAGCAGCTCGCAGACACTGATGCGAGACCCTACACACTGTTGGGGCCAAGCGCCACGCATAATCTCAA